GTTTGTGCGTCTGTGGTTTGTGCGTCTGTGGTTTGTGCGTCTGTAGTCTGTGTGTCTGTAGTTTGTGTGTCTGTAGTTTGTGTGTCTGACTTCATGTAAACAAGGATCCACCTGATTCCTCCACTGAGTGTTTCAGCCGATGAGGTGACAGGACAGGTGTCGAAGACATTTAGGAGCCAACACATCCCCATCCCCCACCCCCTCTGTAGGCTTTAAATACCCCCCACCCCCACCCCCGCCCTGAACTTGGGTGCCACAGGGACAATTTGGGACAATGACATAAGAGCCAGGAGTCAATCCCCCCCGCCCACCCAAACACACACACACACACACACACACACCTCTAATAACCTGAGCCCTGTGGACTCACCTCCTCTACCCTCATTATCACGCCCAGGACACTGTGTTGCATGTGCACACATCTGTCCCCGTCTGTCCCCATCTGTCCCCATCTGTCCCCGTCTGTCCCCATCTGTGCTGCTGCCTCTGTTTGACTTCAGTAACGTCTCCAGTGGGAATCCTCCGCTGTCGTTAGCACTGATTTCACTGTCACCTGGTTCAGAGCCACACGGACGAATGTTCATTTAATAAACAAGCTATTTAAAAAAAAACGTCTTTTAACAAGATGATTAATCTCTGGATTCTAACTGATAAGAAATAAAAGTGCCGACGCACGTTAACAGCTTCTGCTCACACTTGATGCAACAACAACAACGACCACAGACGACAAAGCTCGAGAAGAGAAAACAATCAAATCTCTAACCGGCTCAACAAACACCACATCTTTCACATTAACGTGGTTTCATTGTTTAACTGAATTGACTTGAGCCTCAAACTGCGAAGGGAAGAAGAAAGATTCATTCAAGAACAAAGCAACAAGCCGAGGATCCGACTTCACTCCTGGTCTTAACCACGAGGACGATAAACAAGAAGGATTCCTCACACTGAACCATAATCTGGGAGAACAAATCACCTTCAGCTGTTTGCTCTTTGAGTGAATCGTTCCCTCAGTTTATCAGCGTCTCTTTGCTGCTGGACTCTGCAGGATTAACGGGCTAAGACCCCAGAGACCCTGCTGACAACAGGGCCACCACCGGCCTCCGGCGAGGGCCCGAGTCCAGACCCATGGATTTGCGTCTGAGTTCAGGGGATAAAAGTTCTTGGACGCCTCTTCCAGAGAGCTGCACTGTGGGCGCAGGGGAGTCAGATGGTGAGAGAGCCGGTGATGACAACCACAGTGGGAGCTGTGACAATGTTTTCAAGATTCTCTGCAGCGTTGGAACGAGCACCAGCAGCTTCTGATAAAACCTCACGAGCAGAACACAAAGAGAGAGAGATCACAGGGACGCTGTGTTCTGGATTACCTCACGTTGGAGGATGGAGGATTTCTACCGTCTGGAGCTGGATCAGTTGCACCTGACGCCAGAATCTGAACCTGTTCTCATGCACGACTGGTAGAATGCGAACTAACTGGACTCCGTCTTTTCGGAGCGAAGCTTGAGGCTCGATGCTGAAAACAGCTTCCCCACGTTGAGGATGCTCGTTGGAGCCAAACGTGCTGATGTTCGACCGATGACCGATGAAGCTCAGGGAAACAACACGGAGTGTGTATGTGCACAGTTTCCATTCAACACGTTTATCGTAACAAAGCGGAGAAACGACCAACAGGCGAATATTCCCAGAACCTCGCCGCTGACACGCCTTCCTCACGAGACTGTTGTCCATCGTGTGTCACAATAAAACTTGTTTACCTCTGTGAACAGTGTGCTGCACACACACACACACACACACACACACACACACACACAATGAGTTGACAGGATCAGTGCAGGTTCATGGTCGGCAGCCGCTCATCTTTTGTCGTTTAATGAGTTCTCGACTCGGAGGCTGACGATGTGGTGGAAGTGGTTGTGGAGGATTTATGACTGGGGCTGGGGGAGGAGGAGGAGGAGGAGGTGGATGGGAGGAGGAGGAGGGGAGGAGGAGGAGGGGTGTGTCTGATTTCAGTTCACAGGTTCTTTCTCTGAAATAAGAGGCAAAACTGTCCAGGCAGATCTAGGGTCAGCTAATTCCTTCCTTCCGAGCGACCTTGACCATGAGAACTGATCTAAGGCCGTTTTAAGTAACATGCAACCGTGGCTAAATTTCCCAGCATTCATTAGTCCCTGTAAACCTAGTGATTCTACTTCTGGCTCCTTTAGAGAAGTGCAGAAAGGTCGTGCGGTGGGATGATCTTACAGCTCTGACTTCATTTTGTTATTTGCAGGTCGAGAACGTGAAGTGACCATGAGACGCCGCCTCGTCACTCGGGAGCTCAGCTGCCGGTCGAGGTCGCTGCCACGAGGGGAAAATATGGGAAATACAGAGTTTTGTTTCTTTCTAAAGTACGTAACGATATCTTCATGACGTCAGAGCTATTTAAGAGACCTATCACCTCAGCAGACTGATGACTGGGACTCCTGCTGCCACCAAACTATTTATATCCAGCGTTCAGCGGCGTTCAGCCCGACACCATGAGCTCAGCTCTCTAACCACAGGTTCAACACTCAGCTCATTATTGCCGAGTGAACGAGCTGAGTGGGCAGAGTTGATCTGATGCTTCCTCTGTGAGCTGCTGCTCCGGAGCTCCGTTCCTCCGCGGCCTCACAAACACACGTCGACATTTCTAAAGTGAATCAAAGAACATGAGATTCATTAGCTGACAGACGCTCAGATTCTTTGCTTCAACACACGACTGTGAGGAGGGAGCGCCGCTGTCAGACAGGAAGTTCTATTTCCAGACCCTCAGGATCAACATGGCCGCTCTCGCAGCTCCTCAATCATCATTTCCACTCTCGGCCGCTCGACTCCGACATCGTGTCTCTTCTGCTTTTGCCGTCACAACACGGGCCGAAAAACTTTTCCATCTTCAAGCCGCATCCCGACCTCACCGGATACACGGCGTCATGCTAATAAAATACACCATGTATGAAGAACATGTCACGCTCCTCCGCCCTTCCTCCGGCCTCCCGGGGCTCCTGCGACGGCACCGGAGCAGTTTATAGACGCCTCCCTACATGGACACGGCTTCTGGAATAGCAACTGCTATTTGATCTGACTGCAAGTTCTCTCACCTCTCCACTTACGTTTAACTCCTAAACACACACACAAGTATCACACAAAACATACACAGCACACGGCTCCAGCTCATCCGGTTATTTCTGACACAATCCTCCCGGAATAAGTTTTCAAATGTAAAAGGACGATTGTTTGTTGGACAGTGTCAGACACTTGTTCCTTTCAAAAGTTATTATAGCACAGAAGTAATTTCATATTTTCCCTAAGAAGTCAGATCGGTCCCATTTATTCATTGATAAATATAAATAATATATCATAAGAAGCCTGGTTGTGTGCAGAGGAACGATCAATAAGAAGAACTCCACCTCCGCTCCTTGTTCAGGCCGTCGCATCGACTGAAAACCTTCACTTGACACTGAAATTAAAAATTAATCGCTTCTTGCTTTGGCCTCGTTTCATTCGCTCAAGGAAAACTCACTGAGTCATGGGAGGAGCCTCCCATCTCCCAGGTGCATTGTGGGAGCCCGGGGAGTGAACACAGTGGAGCAGGTGAATTACAACAAACCTCATGAATGATCCAAGTAGGATTCAAACGAGGGAAAGATGTATTTGGATGAATTTCTTTTTGGATGAATTGTTTTCATCTCAGATCAGAGATGAAGCTTTAACGCTGCCCCTCCCCCCTCCCCCCCACGGTGAAACCACCAACTCAAAACCACCACACACTCGCTCATCGACTGGAAGATCTCAGACGTGTTTTTATGAGCTGCTGCGATCCGCCATCATTACCGAGAGAAGAAGAAACCAGCGTCTGTTAAACTGCATTTAATGTGAATCACTTCCTCTGCCTGGTTGAGCTCCAGTCACTGCCCCTCGTCTCGCTGCTGCTGATGAATTAACCAGATGTTCTAAGTGACGTGAGACGAGATTCGATGAAGATCCGCTCGGAGCCACTTTAGGTTGAGAGGATGAATGTGATGCTGATCAACTTATTCAGCCTCAGCCCTGAGGGGACAGATCGGGAAGAAGCAGAGCAGCCGGAGATTCACACGATATTCACGTCCTCGTCTCATCGTATAGTTTTAAAACAACAGTTTATCTTTTCAGAGTAGAAACATAATGAAATCAAAACTAATTATTACAATAATTGATAATTGGCCAAAACAAGACGAATGAATCAGTCACATATTCTCTATTTGATTATTTGATGATATGAGACGGAGAACTTCAATATTCTCATAATAACATATTTTAGAATGTTTCTTCTGTCACGTGAACATAAGAAGTAATGTGTCAGCAAACATCGATGACCTGATGTCACGAGTATTTATAGGTTGGGTCCACTAGCATTAGCAGCGCTAAGCAGCCACAGACTCACTCGGTCAGTTAGCAGCTGAACGTTTGTGGCGTACTGACATTTTCTACGTAGTTTTCGATGTTTCACTATTTCTTCACTATTTCTTCACTGAGTTGTATTTTGTATCTGCGGACATCGATCAGCTGTGACCTGTCAGCGATGGAGTGAGACCTCCTGTCCGCATCTGCGTTCTGTTCGTCTCATCTATTGTAACGACCTCGTTACTCCGCGAAGACAAGACGGAGCCAAACTCTCGTCCCTGTGTCCTTTCACGTGTCCCTCGGACACCGTCCACCTGACGCAGTATCGGACACGATTTCTTTGCCAGCTCGTATTAAATCAGATTCCTGCTCCAAACCAAGCCGTGAATCATTAAGCGAGCATCGGGGGCTGCTCGTGATAAATATAAACCAATGTCAAGATGTGCTATTCACACGCACACACCGAGCCGACACTATTTCTAATGTCCAGTATCAGATTCAGCATCACAGTGTGTTGACAAACACTTTTACTACTGCGTCAACGGCTGAGCAGCTTTTTCCACTGAAATTTCAAGGATAAAGGAGCGAACAGGTGGCGCCAGGGTTTCCTGTCATATTCATTACACTGCTGAATGATGCACCGGTTATATTTATGGGCTGATATCAGCGCCTGAAGCTGGATCGTACATGCCGAGGAGAGCAAGGGGGTACGATGACCTGCTCCCCCGGGAGGTTGAGAGGTGAAGACTAAAGAGAAGGTTGTTCGAGGCCCGTTATGTATCGTCTTACGTTCACAAAGACGGACAGGGACGTGAGACAGAAGACGCTGCAAAGAAAGGGAAGGTGCAAAGGGATTTTTGAAGAGCGGTGGAGAGAGGAAGTGAATTACCTGACAAGAGAAAAGACAAGAGTGTGGCAAAGAAAGAAAGAGGTGAAGACGAGGAAGAGGAGGGGGGGAGGAGGTGGGGAGAGCAAGTTGAGGAGTATTTTTAGGAAGATGTTTATTTGTGGGTCTGTGAAACCAACCCGGGCTGTAGATCTACAGCATCGCTCGCTCTGTTACCATCTGTCGAGGCCTGTCACTGCCCCCGCCTCAGGTCGGACATTTCACATCGACAGAACCAGAATCAGTTCAGATCAGACCAGACTAGATTAGATCAGATTAGATCAAATCAGATCAGATCAAATCAGATTAGATCAGATCAGATTACACAGACCTGGGATACAATTAATTAAAGGGACATAAATGACCATGGACCATGTTAAGATATTCTAATGGATTAATTTTAGATAAAATGTGATTGTTGACAAGTTGTGTGACTGAAGTTACGTTATAAAGTTCTGATAACACAACAACTCGGTTACAGGTTTAAAATCCCGGCTGCTGAAGCGAGCTCGTCCACAGCCGCTACACGTGGGAGGAGTCATATAAGAGCGAAGGAAACGGGTGACGTATTAAACCCATTTATAACTGTCGTTAATACACAAGAAAAGATTTAATGGTTTTCACGACTTTCTCTTCTAATGTTCTTTAACAACATTTAACAGTCGTGTTTGATTTTACAGAAGAGGAGTTTCACTGTTCTCCACAGACGACAGAGGCCACGATTACCTGCTGGTGTCTGGTACGATTCTTCATCATACATCTCTTCATGTAGAACATGTATGTGACTTATCACGGCTTCAGGTTACTTCACTTTACGTTTCTAAGTGTTGGTAGTTTCATTGTGTGTAAACTTAAACTGTTAAAGAGAGAAACATTCAAACGTATGATTCAAGGAAACAGTGACTCTACGATGACATCATTAGCAGCTGAGCTCCGGGACACCCGTGGTAAAGGAGGTCAAACCAACATGGCGGCCGTGACGCACAACTCCGTAAAACCAACGCAGCATAAACATCTTTACACGTTAAAACACAGGATTAAACTGAACTAAACTTTGCAGTTGTAGTTTCTGTCGTTTTTCATTTTTCATTCACCCCGTGACGAGGTCAGCAGGTCGCCAGGGCAACCGCTGACCTCCACCCCGGGCTAGCTTGAAATGGCTAATAATAACATGCTAAAAACGTATTTTTACTACTTTACTGATTATTTCTGTTCCGTGTATTTATACATTTGAAGAGTGTTCGTCAGTAATGTGAAAAATACTATTATTGTGAATTTGACATGGACGGATTAACCTCCGATGAGGCCATGGGGCAAAGATGGTTCTTGGGCCCCAACTCACCTCCAATCTCCACTTCACGACTTTATTCCAATTTATTTATAATCGATCGAGCGATATTTTGTTTCCATCTCATACAAATCTGTGGTTAGTGAAATGATGTGAAACCAAAACCACATCAACGCGTGTGAATTTCTGAAGTTATGATTCAGACTAAAGTTGAAGACCGGGGAGGGTCGTATTATATTTAGACCGTCTCCTCAGGGCAACCGGGGGTAACTGAAAGACAACACTGAGAAAGTTCCACGGCCTAAAATATCTGCCCAGGCAGCTTCCACTGGAGTGCCAGGTGCGAGCACAGCGCAGTGCCCAGTTTCCTGTCAGGCTGTTTGAGACTCGACACGGTGAGAGACACCAGTGAGTTTGGAAAAACAGATCTATCTGACGAGCTAACGAGCTAAACTGCGTTTTAAAAACTCCTCGTTATTAGTGTGAGCGCGTGGATACCTCGGTGCGTAATTACGCACGGTGGCACAAGCGTGGCCCGCTGCTCCAAGCCTCCAGATCCCAAACCTACCTTCCTCTGCTGCTTCTCCCAGGCGGGGTCCAGCAGCAGGTCCCTGTCCCAGTCGTCCTCTTGGGTCATGTACGCCTCCTCATGTTGGATCGTGTAGGAGTTGCTGTATGTAATCTGGGTTTCGACAGCTGTCATCGTGCCGCCTCTGTTAGGACTTCTCGCGTCCCCCTCAGCTTTTAGAAAGAAACAAAATCAGCAGTCGACGCCGTGAGGGCCAGAACCTCCTTGAGACGAGGGGTCTCGCGTTCAGGGGGGAGAGACAGTTGGGGGCTGCAGAGACTAGACTCCACTGATGCGAGGTGCCTGTGCGGAGGTGGTGCTCCCACTACCAGAAGACCCTGCCGGCCGGTGCTCCTTTCCTGGTCAAAAGTGGCACACGTGACCGCACCCGAATAAGTATGGGAACCGACAGCTTGGGTATCAGGTTCTGACCCTAAAAAGGTGTAAAAGGCGGGGTCGTCTCTCGCTGGGGGGCTTCTGAGTGGTGGGGAGGGACGTCAATTACGCCCCCTGACGCCAGCGAGGTTTTTATGGCCTCTTCAATGCACCTGTTGCTGTTAGTGAGCCTCACAACCTCTGTTGTTTCAGCTCGCCCCAAAAACCAGGGATGAGAGGAGCAGCTCAGAGCCTGAGAGTCAAATAAAAGCTCTACAGCTGTTTGACAGATTCTCATTATTATTATCTGACTCCAGGTCTGTGATAGAGACCGACAGCAGCTCCAAAATACTTTTATTTCCAACCATCTCTCTGAACTAGAGACAGTAGAAACCAACAGTCCCCTAATTAACATTATTTTAATTCAAGAATTTTATTTGGATGTGCATCATAAATATCAGTCCTCTTCAAGATTCACGTTCTCCGAGTTAATTTATCTGAAAACGTTAAAGAAGATTAAATAAAAAAGATCCACACAAAGTGTAACGATCATATTAAATCCTTTCACCGAGGGTCACGATCACCTGTCGAGGTTTTGGAGTAGTCTCGCTCAAGTATTCACGATATTGTGCCGAATTTGTCTCAGTAAAAATATTCAATTACAATAAAGGAGATTCAGACGTTTATATGAGATAGAAATGGATTTATTCATGATTTGCATGCAGATTGAAAAATGCCTCGAGAGAAATACAGATTAAAAGGCATATACTCTCTC